AAAAGCTTGTAAACAGGTGCTCGGTGCATGCGATATTTGTAGTAGCGAATAGTTAGAAATTGTTGTAACCATATTGTTAATGAGTTACCAGCTCTCGTTAATTAAATGGAAAAATTGAAGTTTTAATTCTTGGTGTTTGTCTTCAAATCTTTTTTTTAGAAAGGAGTGGTCAAAAATTAGGGTGCGTATTATACACGGATGCATATTATACACGGGTAAATACAGGTAATCAATTACATATCAATCAGTTAAAGATTAGTGTTGAGAAAAACAAGTTCGTCAATTTTCTTCGCAAGAGTCATGGTCAAGGAACCGGCTTTTGTTATTTCTGACCTTCATAGATTGTCATTCAGATGCGTGTTTTTGTATGTTCAACATACCCAACAAAGCCGCCACACAAGGCATATTAAAGAGATCAAGGGCGACAGAAATATCCACAACATAAGTGACCAGTGCACTGATGGCTCGTACAAAAAATGCGAAAAGTTTCGAGCGCAAGACTGCCATGGGCACATACAGCGAATGAGAGCAGCTGTTTGGGACCAACGTGACCAAATCAAAGATCTGACAGCAAGGGATTCTAACATGGCCATTGCCTCATATGATCCTGAGGAAGATTATTACCTTGTACGGGCAACGAATGAGGGCAGTGAGACACTTCAAACATCACTCTCAGATGCACGCAATAACTCATTCCCACCAGGTGCAGAGGTAGTCAAAGAGCATTTATACATCATCGTCGATAAAGGGAAACGTCTCTAAGCCTTAAATGCTTAAAAAAGAAGCCCTTGTTTATGTTGCCACTGTCTGGTTCATTTGCTCAGACCTCAGCCCCCAAATTGTCAACGGCAAAGTTTTCTCACTTTCTGAGCAAGAATACCTTGATATTCTGGATGCACTTGACAGATTTTAAAAGGGCTGTCACACTGTTTGCACTCTCTTTAAAACATGGTTCTTAAAGGTTTCATTAACATTTACTCAACCACTTTTCCAGGACTTAGTAACAAAATTCAAGGAGTTCATTTTCTCAGGCACATATTTTTTTGTCACAGTCATGCCAACAAATGAATACCTGTAAGTGCAAATAACTTTCGAAAAACAACGGATAACAGCTATTCCTTCAGCTTTCCAGCACAGAAAATAATGTTTTGTCTAACTCAGCCAAGGCCGAGTTATTCAAAGCTGGGTTAAGGTAACCCAGGGTTAGCGCGAGATTTGAATTCAGATATGACAGCTTAAAAGGCATTTCAGTTTTAGTTTTTTTGTCTACAAGTTGATGATTGGAAGTTCTAAAAATAGCACAGAAAATTATCCGAGAAAATGCTTTTGAACACAAGAAAAAGAAACCCAGGTTAATTGCTAATCGGCCTTCGAACAACTGGGCCCAGATCATTTATCTTGTCCTTTACAGATCTAAGGTTCATACAAACAATTGCAAACCATTCTTCAAGGACTTTTCAAGGACCACCTACTAGGAATGCAATTTCACAGATTGTACAAAAATGCACACTTTCAGTCTACTCTAATAAGGCTTTCAGGCTTGAACTGTTTGCTTCACCAACTTCTCTACATTTTCAGTTCACTTGTCTTAAATTGATAGTTGATTATTGCATAAAACATTGAGCACTATGTAAATGACCTTTAAATTCTCTGAGCTATGATTTACATCCTGTCTTGGACAACCAAAAAGCATCAAAAAAACACTTTCCAGGCCACTACATTCAAAGCTGAAGAAAATTCAAGGACTTTTCAAGACTGTGCGAACCCTGACTGATCACTTTAGAGCATTTGCCTGAGTGGCAAACGTTAACTTAGTAGTTGCCACTGCTTTGGAGAGCACAAGAGAGCGGTACAAGAGTTGCTCGAGGTGCAGCCGAAAGCAACTCTAGCCTCTTGAGAGCAAGTGCATCAAATGTTTCGTCTGTCAGAGCAATAACGCTCCCACCTACCTACTGGACAACCACGGGAAAAGGCAGGGTGACAATCCTACTGTCACTCTCACAGAACTTTGGGCAGAATTAGAAAAACGTTTTGGTAACGCAGCCACGTTGACACGGGCCATTCTCGAACGACCCTCTACAGCAGCTGCCTTCAGCAAAAAAGATGGTGCTAGACTCCAGAAACTAGCAGATTTATGCGCGGATGTAGGCTGTCAAATGACTTAATTGCCAGGCCTAGCCTGCTTGAACTATCTGATAGCAATAAGTCCAATCATTGAGAAGCTCCCAGCTTCCCACAGATCTAAATGGGAGAAGGAAATAGTGTGCTATGCAGAGGAGCACAACTACGTTTACCCAACATTTCATGAATTCTCAACAACGATACAGAACAAAGCAAGAAAGAAAAATCACCCTAACGTTTCAGCAGGAAGCCCTGCGACGAACCCTTGTGCTCAAGATCGACGTCGCGAGAATAACCAAAGACACTTTCCTCAATCTGGAGACGAGGTCAAACAAGCTCTGATGGACCAGGATAGTGGTAACGTCCCAGAAAAGGGGCCCCAGAGCCCCCAAGTAAGAAACATTGTTTATTTCACAAAAGAGCTAGCCACGAGCTTATGGAGTGCAAAGCCTTTCACAAGATGACGATCAATGAGAAGGTGAAGTGGGTTATGGGGGAAAGACTTTGTTTTCGTTGTTTCTAGCCTCATCACGCAGCCAGCACGTGCAAGGAGAACGTGAAATGTAGTACCTGTAGCAGCAGGATGACACCATGACCTACTCCATTTAAGCATTGAAGAGAAGAAGGAGAGAGCTAAAGAAGCGGAGACAGCTAATGAGGCCCAAGAAAACATTAATGCTAAATGCACGTCGATATGTAAGGGTGCCCCTGGCGGACTTTCCTGTAGCAAGATAGTGCTGATGGATATCTATAGAGGATCAACCCAATGAAGTTCATCGAGTTTATGCTATTGTAGATGACCAATGTACGAGAGAAAATATGAGTCGAACCCAGGTTGGTGCGAGGATCTGGGAGATGGATCATTGCAAGCCTTGTTTAATAAAAAAGGGATAGGTTCATTTGTGAAGAAAGTGGGTACACCAGAAAGGTTCAGGTTAATTGAAAGATATATGCAAACGTATTGGACAGAGATTGAAAAGATGAGTAGCACAATCACCCCTTCCATTTAATGGTCAGCCAGGTTTACAAGCGAATATCTCGCTATAGTTGCAAAGAAACACCGTAAAATTTTGAAATGTTTGGGGGAAATGGCAGTTCTTTCAAATGAACTAATCAATTTTCTGGTAGTTCAAACAAAAGCCTATGAAAAATGGAACTACTTGTTCTAAAATGTGCTAATTTGGCATGTAATGCGTTACAGAAATGTGCACCTATGCGCGCATTCACAAGCTTACCGTGCCTTGTTAAACCACAAAGCAGTCCCAAAACAAAAGAAATCAATAAAGCATTAACTAAAAACATAACTGGTGAAGTTTGAGGGGAATTATTTTATTATAAGGATAAAAAACATGAGATTACTATTTCTGGTCCCCATGTAACGCACCCGCTCACTCGTTTTACCTCTTCAAGGTTATTCGGGATTTGTCACTTTCTAAAATCATAATACAAACTAAAACCCTGGGGCCGTAATGGGCTTTACTCAAGCTAACTTTATCTGTTAATTTGGCCAGATACACCTAATGTAGCTGATGCGAGAGGGATTTGAAGTTGACTGAAACACATTTTATCTTTCCACAATAGAGTTAATTGCAACGACAGCTCACAATATTAAACGGGTCTTTTCATATCAACTCTTGATAAACCTGACATCGAACCGACAACACACTGTTGGGCTTATATCGATCTGTCTCTGTTCCGAATTTTAGCTCTTTTGACATCACAAAACGCGAGGTATTCTTGATTGAATAAAACTGAAACATTTTCTGGTGAAATTGCCGTGCTCAAAAAGCGTAACGAAGGAACAACAAGCGTGTAGGGTCGTGCAAACCATTTCTAACCGGCCATGAATCTTCCCAAATTCGGCGGACTTGACTCGCTTTTCTTCCCCAAAGAATCGCACGTGTTTAATGTCAATACAAGGGGTGGACGTCTGGCAGATTCAGGGCCTTTGTATTGCATAACGTGACGAAAACGTGACATTTTCGTTCTTCCAAGTACGTGCGTGTGTTCATTCAAGCGATCAAGGAATGCAGCATGGAGAGCCAATATCACGGTCTTTCGCGTAAAAAAATTGCGGAGCTAAGGACAAAAGCAGAAAAGAAAGAAAAAAATAGGGCATATTATGAAAAAAATCGGGAAAAGTTGATTGAAAAAACTAAAGAAAAGCGAAGACAAAGCCGAGAATCTGACTCACGTCCGCAAACACGTGGCTCATTCACCATAAAGAAAGCCCAGAAAGGAAGCAAAGCAAAAGAGATCAGAGAAAAGAGACGTGCAGCCGAAGAAGAAAGACGAGAAAAAATAAGAGAACAGACAAGAGAACGAGTGAGAAGACACCGTGAAAAGGCAAAAGAGCAATTTCGTGACAACAGACGAATCACCTGGATTTCAAACCAGAACCTCAAAAAAACGCGGAACTGATAAAGTGCGACACGCGCTTCCGGCCACACCAAGAAAAAAAGCACAGATATTAAAAACTGTGATACAGAGTCCAAGGACCAGGAAAATTTTGGAAGAGGAAGGATTAGTTAAGACACCAGAAGAGGAAAATGAGACAAAGGCTTTAAAAGCGCTAGCAGGAAGATATTAATGAAGGACTCCAACACGTTAAGCAATCCAGGTCTAACGAAAATCGTGCTGCTTTTCAAGCCTTCAAATCTCTTACTTTTGGGAGCAATGTGAAGAAATCAAGAGCAAAGAAGTCTTTGTCTAAACTGGTAAACCTTAACAGAAAAAGCATCGATCACGCAATTAGACGTAGAGAAAAGATACTAAAGGGAGAAATCTCAAGCTGGATCCACACAAAAAGAAAGATTCGGCACGACGCGTTGAGCGAAGAAGACGCCAAAGTTGTCTATGACTACTGGAGTATTGTTGCTAGCCGTCCAACAGGAGACAAAAAAGACACGTTAAAAAAGCGAGTTGGCAAAAAGGAATACCTGCACCACGCCCGCCATGTGCTTGAGAAGACACAGACTGAGGCATATTTAGAATTTTGCAACTTGCATCCAGAGATAAAAATCAAACAGAGAAAGTTTGAAAATCTCAAGCCCTTTTATGTGAAGCCGGCCAGAGAGCGAGGTCGGAGGTCATGCTTGTGTCGTAAGCACGTGGAAACAAAAATTGTTTTCACGGACTGCACGAAGTTTAGGAAGTTTTTGGTAGCAGATGACAACCAGTCGCCACCAATACCCAAAACACTGAACGAGGCAGTTGAGATGACTCTATGTGCAAAAGAAGAAGGAAGAGACTACCACAATCTGAAATGTATTGAAAGAATGTGTGAAGATTGTGGTGTTGACAAATTTCCTCTTTTACCTGAGGAGTCAAGTGATAATGGCCTAGTTAAGTGGTCATGCTACGAGTATGTACCTACGGGGAAATATCTACCAGACGGCACAGAGAAGAAGAAGATAACACTTGTGCAGAAGGAGACACCACCATCGCAGCTGTTCAAGTATTTTACTGATCTTCTTGCTGGATATCCAAGTCATATCTTCATGGCAAGGTGGCAAAGGGATCAGCTAGATAGTCTGGTAAATAATTTGCCGCAGGGACACGTGGTATGCATCCATGATTACTCTGAGGGTTACACCTGCAGAAAGCAAGAGGAGACACAGAGTGAGTACTTTGACATCAACAAAGTCTCTCTTCATGTTTCTATCTTGTACCGCCATGCTGTAGAGGCAGTGGATGGTGTCAGCAGCAGTGAGGAGGAGCCCAATACAATCAAGGAACACATATTTGTCATCTCAGATGATCCAATACAAGACCACGACAGTGTTCACAAAGTGCAGGAGCTGATTCATGGCTATTTTCAGAATGATCTAGGCTATCAGGTGGAGAAGCTTCATGAGTTCACTGATGGCTGTGCTGCACAGTACAAGTCAAGACACTGTGTAGGCGACCTATCATGTTCTCTTATGGATTTTGGCTACCACACACAGCGTTCCTACTTTGAAACCTCGCATGCCAAGGGAGAGCAAGACGCAGCTGGGTCTCACATGAAGCAGAGGGTGAGCCAGGCTGTTTTACAACGAAAGGCCAGAATCACACATGCAGAGAGTATGTACAAGTATCTTGTTGAAAATTTCACCCTTCCCGTGGCATCCAGCTTTGACTCACGAACAAAAGCAGTGGAACTCAAACGTCGGGTCTTCTTTTTTGTTCTTAGTCAGGGAGAAGGGGCTGTAGATAGAAACAGACCTGGAAGGCAATTCAGGTCAGTCCCAGGAATCAGAAAATGGCACTGTGTTAAGAGCTTACCACAACAAGAGAAGGTCTTAACCAGACATCGCTCTTGTTACTGCACTGATTGTATACTAGATGACCAGGATCAATGCAAGAACAAGGAGTGGGTTGATGACTGGAAGGAAGTAGAAATCAAAAGGGAAGCTTCCCCAGCCACCACCGGGCAGTCCACAGCCACATCAGCTCTGGATAATGACACCATGGCACACATGGCTGATCTTGCAGCCAAAGGTAGCACTGTGGCCATAGCAGCTTTTGAGGATCCTGCTTATGATTTCTACCTCCTAAAAGTCACTTCCAATGGCGTGGAAGAGCTAGAGGAGCCAATGACTGATGACTATTCCTGCCGATACCCTAGTGGCAGTGCAGTTCTCAAAGGTCACTTCTTTTTAAGGGAAAATCTTCAAGATATGACCTACACTCTTGACACTAAACGTCTAGCTGTAGTTTATGCGGGGACAGTAGGTGCTATATGTACAGATCTTTCTGTGAAGAAAAAAAATCGAAATTAGCCAATCTACAAGCTGTCTATGCAGCAACATGAAGAGATCATTGGATCAATGTAAATCTTGTACATATTTGTTTATCATGGTAAAAAAAAAATCAATGATTTTGTTAAAACCTGTAAATTTGTGTAACTGACCACGCCTGCAAGGTATTATGGGTAATTAAAAATTGCATTTTATCTCTTCTCAAATTGCAATTAATTAAAAATATAAAATGATATTGCCATCTAAGACTAAAATGCTTTGAATAAAACAATAAAGACAAATTTCCTGATGATTTTGATTTTTGACCCTGTGTTACACAAATGGGAGGGGTGATTGTGCTACTCATCAAACGATTTGGACTAAAGGGGCTAAAGTGGCTAATGGTGCGTACAGTACAACAGCTGAAGGTTCTACATCATCAGATCAAACCATGATGGAATTCAGGGGTGTACCTGCCTTTAAGCAAATAAGCACGGGCTTACAAGTGATTCAGACGGTATGACATATTTTTTGTGAAGAGATGTACTGGTAAAGAGCTGTGTATTTTCCTTTGGTTGATCACCTCGTACAAGAACTAAATGTCACAAGAGAATCGTTTCTTAGGACAATATCTTGTTCCAGCAAACGGTGGAGTACAAGATAAGCTTTATGAAACCAACAAAACCGATATTTCAGAGAAGAGAGACTTTGACAATGAAATTTTAAGGTGGCAAACAAAGTGGTCTCATTCAACTGATGAAAAACCAGTGACACTTACACAGACACTCCAGCACGCTAATCCAGACCTTTATCACAACGTGGTCACAATTATTACAATCCTCCTGATAATGCCAGTGTCAACTGCTACCCAAACGATCTTCCACGATGAAAACAGAGCGACTCGCAGCACTTCCCCTGATGCATGCTTACAGAGACATACCCATTGATGTAGAAGTGGTGATTCGCGAATTTTCACCAAAAAGAACAGAAGTCTAGCTTTCAAATTTCTTTGAGTTCCACCAAGATTTCACATATGTTTGCAACTAATGTGTCGCTAGTCAGGTCATTAGGTTGTTGCTGTTGTTGACCACAACCACAACTGGCTGCATTTTGTTAAATATTCCATTATTTCTTGTTCAATATGGAATCCTGGCATAAGCGCCCAGATTGCAACAGATTACACCTCAGAGTACTTGAATTTTTAGAATTTTCTGGGAGGGCATGTCCATGGACCCCACTAGCATGTTAGGCCTTGGGCTTTCCTTATGGGCGCTAAAGCGCACATGTTGTATCTGCTAGAAACGCTCCACCAAGGCTTACAAACAAAAAATGCCTAGGAACATCCCTGGAATTGGCATGGACTGTTGTTGGTTCAAGGGACTAATGAAGAAAGTTAGAACCTTTCAGGTTCAATTAAGTGCTTTTACACAAGACGACGAGGATGACAGTGCATCAACAGATTTAATGAATCTGAATCTGCCGGAGCTATCAGGGTGCCATTTTGAAGGCATTTGGCATGCTTTGAATCTCGCATCCTACTCAACCCCCTGTTTTTCTTATTACGTTCAGTTATGGGCATATTTGTTTTTGTATTTTTGTTGCTGAGGGATTTGTCCCTCCTTTTGAGTTAAAAGTGTATATGAAGTAAAATTTTTCTCGCTTTAATCTGAAAGTTTACGACTTTCTCTATTTGAATTTGTGGGTTTTACAAAAAAAAACCATTTCAATCAGTAGTTATCACGCCTGCAATGTTCGAATTTAGCGTCGGAAAGTGTCTCCATCTTACACACAGCCAAAACAATCATATTACATGGCTGTGACGTAGCAAACACTTCAGAACACATGTGTGTCATGGCGGACAAGGGAAAATCTTCAACCTCAGCTACTTATTGTGCTGCTGGTAACCCAAACATGACAGACTGTAGTATTAACACTGGCATGCAAGGCATAAGTATGCATTACTTCCAAAGGATGCGACTTTGCAGAACAAATGGCCGCATTTTGTGCAGATTATAACAAGATTTTGACCCTAAGACTCAGTCAGCTCTTTGTTCTGCACATTTTGATGAAAGTTGTTTTGTCGTCATGGGCATCCCTGTTTATGACAACAATGATTGGTAAATTGGTAAAAACCACCAAAGAGAAATCTAATCCCCGGCTCTCTACCATCTAAAGATTCTCTTACTCCATGCATGTTTCGCCTGACTTCACGACTTTTTTATGGCAGATTTAGCTGCTTTTTCTGCATTAGTCCAGTTTTGGGACTTGGGATTTCACCTTCTGAAGGTGAAATCCAAACCTAGAAAAATCTGTATTTTGCAAAGCATCTTTTTTGCAAAACAAGAACTGATTACGTGTGTAAGACTTCATGTGCAAGACTTCACAACTGATAAGAATTTCTCTTTAATTAGTGCCATATCAAAGAGTTTTGAGTTTTTGCTCGGTAAAGTTAATTTATAAAAGCAGTAGCAAACTTTTTCCCTGTATTTGCATAGCCTGATATAAACTCCCGAGGGGTCGGGAGAGTTCTCAACAGTTACGCAAACCTGAGGTGAACAAATTCTCCTGACCCCTCTCGTGTTAATATCAGGCTATTTAGACACGGAAAACGTTTTCTACTGCTTCAATAGTAGTTCCTACTAATTTTTTGATTACTCATTCTTAACCTTTGTTTAGAAGATTTTTAAAGTTATTTGTTTCTATATTTTCTACAAGAGGACCCCCTGAAAACCACTTTCACCGATGAAGACCTCCTAAAAATTGTATTATTATTATTATTATTATTATTATTATTATTATTATTATTATTATTAAACCCTTAACCATTAACCTGCAAGCAGAGGTGACATTTTTCACAGTGTGAACTGGCAAGCAAAAAAAGTAGCCTTTGCCAATAACCATTCGCGTTTCTTTTGTGCATGCGCAATTTTCATCATACAATTTGCAAGCTATATTCATTGCTGTAATCTGTGCCAATGCAAGAAGAGATGCCAACCTTTACTACTAATTTTACTGCAGGCAGTCCTCTATGCCAGATGTGATGCAAATGTATCCAACAACCGCAATGTCACTGAGAGGGTTCGTACTCTTAAGCTCTTCAAATTCCATGACTTTCAACGACTATTTCCATGACCTTTTCAAGGTTCCCATGACCTTCAGTTTAGCTTTCAGTCTAAAACCTTCTTTGTCTTATTTTTTGACCTTACAAAGTTCAACAGACACAAACTCCGGTGTCCACCAAAATGTGTGCCGTTCTTAAGCTGTCCATGCTTTGTCATCCGCACTTTTATCACTTTCCATAACTTTCAAGGGCCAACAATTAAATTCCATGACTTTCCAGGCCTGGAAAATGAAATTCTGAAATTCCATGACCTTCCAGGTTTTCCATGACCTGCACGAACCCTGACTGACTAGGAAATGTCTGAGAAAAAAAAAAACAAGAAGAAAGGCATCCAAAGCCATCAATGAGCAGCCATGTTTGCTGAAACAAGACCATGAACAGGGAAAAAGAAGGGCAATTTACCTCAAGAGGGCTGACGACTTTGGGGTACACATTTCCCAGATAAAGAACTGACACAAAAGATATTGCAAACAAAGAAGGACAAGTTGAGGTAATGGGTTTGTGGCAATCGTGCCGTATTTATGATCTGTTTCTGAAAGAAAGATAAATAACATTTCAAAGCAGAATAGTTTTATTTATATACACATGTACCGGTATGCAGTTATAATAAAGCAGAATGATCAGACAGATATGATAGAAATGTATTTCAAAGAAACCCTGGCAAGATTTCCATACCACATACCTTATTGTTTCTACATTTTTATAATGGATGACCTCCTGAAAACCACTATCACTTAGTGATGAAGGTCTTCTCTTAAAAGATGTATTTTATTATAAAAGCCGAACTTCTGATTAAGGTATGCAGTGTTCTTGAAACTGAGCCAGTCCTCCAAGACATCTCTGGAGAACAACTAAGTAGAGGATCTAATAAAGCACAAAATGTGAGAATGGAGATTATTATTAAGATGTGAGATTATTATTATTATGTCCATTCCTTGTTCTGGGAGCACCAACAATCAGAAAAATATTACTGACTACCGACAAAACAAGTAAAAAATTACCAACTACCAACAGGAAAAATATTAACCGACTACCGACATGGGCTGACATTATCAGGATCTGTCATTGTATAAGGACCTAGACCCGCAACAGATCTACCATATGCGCAAGAACAAGCACAAGAGGCTGTATTGAAGGAGAGTTGTTGACATTGAGCAGGAAACGTTTATGCCCTTGGTGTTCTAATACAAAACCTGGTGGCATGGGAAAAGAATGCCTCAAATATAGTGGTTAACTTATTATTATTATTGTTATTATTCTCATAACTATTATGTCCGTTTCTTGTAGACTAAGGCAGGATGTTCAGACTAGTTTATAGTCCTTGGGAGCAGGTTACAACAAGTAACCATGGGTCCCATGTCTGTCTTTTCCTTCTTTTTACAGGGACAGTACTTTCCTTAGTATCTTTGCTGTCCCCAACAATGCTGTTTTCTGAATAACGTCCAACCTCATGTTCACACCGATTCACTTCATGTACTCCTTAAAGTTGACCGATACGGCTCCAAGGGCCCCAATAACAACAGGCACTACAAAGACTTTTTGCATGCACCAGACTTTTGCAATTTCATTTTTCAATAGTTGGTATTTCTCTAACTTCTCAAGTTCCTTATCTTTCACCCTGTCATCACCTGGGATGGCAACATCAATTATGACAACCTTTCTCTCCTTCATATAAATAAAGACAATGTCTGCTCTTCTTGAAGATCAAGTGTGGTATCTGTTCTTATCAGTCACGTTTACTGTCTCTGCCAAAAACGTGAATATTTTCTCTCCCTTCTCTTGTTCTTGCCCCGTTTTGGCTGGTTCGTTTTCGCTTCTTTCAAGGATTCTTCCATTACTTTTGTTTTTGCCAAGCAACGTTCATTCCTTCGATTTCGAAACTTTTTCTTTGACGCCGCAAGGCATGTGCTTTGCGTGTGTT